AGCGCTGACACTTAAAAGTGTCATACTTTTAAGTGTAGGTGGTGTGTAGGTGGCGCCCTCAAAGGGGTGGGGTGGTGGTAACAATGCAACAACTCTCCACCAGCCTCAGAAAATCCAACATACACTTCTCTTTTCTGCCACCAGGTGCACTGCCGCTCCGTCATTACTGCTTCATAGTATGTGGAAATAGAGAGGAGACCAAAGCAGCACCTGCATTGCCTCATTGTACTTCATACTGTACTGCACTAGATAAATAATTACAATCTGCTTTTATACAGTACAGTATTTACTCAAAAATCTGCTGAATGTGGTATTGATGTTTTTAAATACAAGATTAAATCTGCCTTCACTACTTCACTACATTTCAGAGACATACAGTATGTACTTTTTACTGCAATACATGCACTTTTTAAACTTGAGTAACTTTTCAGAATCACAGGAATAAAATTAAATACAGCCATAAGACTTTATTGATCCCTGGAGAGCAAAATATGATAATATGGCAGCTGAACTGCACAAAATAGGCTACAGTCATTTAACTTGAATAGAATAAGAAGCTATGGAAACTCCATATGAAGAAGCTATGGAAGCTCTACAAATAATTTTCAAATATTAAAAGCCAAAAAATATGCCTAAAATTAGCACAGTATTAGTATGAGGAACATGTGCCTGAGTAAGGCCACTAATGTCCAACAGTTTGTGCTCTCAGAGCGTAGACAGGAACGTGCACTTTGGCTGGAACTGGATCAGTGCGATCATGTCCCCAAATAATGTCAAACCATTTATATCAGTTACCATAAACAGTTTTAAAACAACAACAGATTGTCATACTTTTAACTACAACCGGTTCTTTTATCTGAAGGCCCCAAGAAGTAACACTCAGGAAACAAGAATCAGCTTTATGTAGATTTATTTTCTTCTGGTTAAATGCAGAGTTATTACAGCGCTGGGCTCTATGAGATGACAAGTCTCCAAGAGCTCTGATAATAGGAAGTAATTCACATATATCTTCTCGGGCTGGGACTGCCCTGTATATGAGTGGAAACTCATATTATCTTCTAATCTGTTGACTCAACACTCAAAACATGAACTGGACACGAGGTTCATACAAGGTTCATACAGATATGAACTCATATTATGTTCTAATCTGTTGGCTCTACACTTACAACATGAACTGGACACTAGGCTCATACAAGGTTCATGCAAATCTTCTAGAATGTTTGACCATGTGATATTTCAGTTTTTCTTTTTTAATAAATCTGCAAAAATGTCAAAAATTCTGTGTTTTTCTGTCAATATGGGGTGCTGTGTGTACATTAATGAGGAAAAAAATTAACTTAAATGATTTTAGCATATGGCTGCAATATAACAAAGAGTGAAAAATTTAAGGGGGTCTGAATACTTTCTGTACCCACTGTATAAGCTTTATCAAAAAGGAAAGTCTTAATTCCTATCTTAAAGGTAGAGAGGGTGTCTGCCTCCCGAACTGAGACTGGGAGTTGGTTCCATAGGAGAGGAGCTTGATAGCTAAAGGCTCTGCCTCCCATTCTACTTCTGTGGACTCTAAGAACCACAAGTAAACCTGCACTCTGAGAGCGAAGTGCTCTGTTAGGATGATAAGGCTCTACGAGGTCTTTAAGATATGATGGAGCCTTGTCATTAAGGGCTTTGTATGTTAGGAGAAGGATTTTAAATTCTATTCTGAATTTTACAGGGAGCCAGTGGAGAGAAGCTAATATGGGAGAGATATGATCTCTCTTGCTAGTTCCTGTCAGTACTCTGGCTGCAACATTTTGGATTAACTGGAGGTTTTTTATGGACGTATTGGGACATCCTGATAGTAAAAAGAGCGTGGACCAGTTTTTCAGCATCACTTTGAGACAGGATGCTCCTGATTTTTGCAATATTGCGCAGGTGAAAGAAGGCAGTTCTAGAGACTTGGTTTATGTGTGATTTAAAGGACATATATGAATAAAATGCGGTTCTGGCACTACGAAGGGCTTTCTTATATGTTATTAAACTATCTTTCCAGGCTATGAAAAACTCTTCTGACTTAGTGGAGCGCCACCTCCTTTCCATTTTTCGTGATGCCTGCTTTAGGGAGTGGAGCTGCGAGCTGTACCACGGGGCTAGCCTCCTCTGTTTCACTACCTTCTTTTTCAGAGGGGCAATGGTATCAAGTGTATTACGCAGGAAGGCTGCAGTACTATCAACAAGATTATCGATTTGTATGGGAGTAAAGTTAAGGTGGCCTCCTTCCACTGTGTTGGCAAACGGCACTGAAGTAGATAAAGATGGAATTATTTCCTTAAACTTGGTAACAGTACTTTCAGATAGACATCTACTGTAGTGGAATTGTTTCCCACATAGAGTATAATCCATTAATGGAAAATCAAAAGTTATTAGAAAATGGTCAGACAGAAGAGGGTTAGGGGTAAAAACTATTAAGTGTTCAGTTTCGATGCCATATGTCAGAACAAGATCAAGAGTGTGATTAAAACAGTGAGTGGGTTTATTTACAATTTGAGAGAAGCCAACTGAGTCTAATAATGAACAGAATGCATTGTTGAGGCTGTCATTGTCGGCATCTACATGAATATTAAAGTCGCCTACTATGATTATTTTATCTGTACTAAGCACTAAATCAGACAAAATCTGAGAATTCACTTAAAAACTCTGAATAAGGAGCAGGGGCCTATTTCAAGAAGGCGGTTTTGTCGAAACTCAGAGTTTGTTAACCCCGAAATGAGGGAAACTCGGAGTTTTCGGTTTCAGAAACGTTTCCAGTTTGGGTGTGAGAGACTCAGGGTGAGACTTTCAAATGAGTTATAACTATATTTAGGTCTAGGGTTGATTAATAGGCTTGAGTCAAAGATCGCTGCCACACCTCCACCTCGGCCTGTGTTTCGAGGGATGTGACAGTTACTGTGACTAGGTGGAGTGGATTCATTTAGGCTGACATATTCTTCTTGCTGTAACCAGGTTTCAGTAAGACACAGTAAGTCAGTGTGATGTTCACTTATCAAATCATTCACTAACAGAGATTTAGATGAGAGAGATCTGATATTTAATAGTCCACATTTGATTGTCCTATTACTTTCTGTTATAAGAGGAGTCATCCTAATTTTATATTAGGTTCTTATGAATAACTCCTCTCAAGTTGATTCTTGATTTATATAATTTAGGTGGGTGGGGGGCAGACACAGTCTCTATGGGGTACTGGGAGTTTTGGGTGGGTAGCAGCTGCAAAGAGACAGCAGAGAGGCGTGTAAGACTGCGACCCTGCATCCTGGACTCTACTCTGGGTTGTCATAATTCAGGTTGTAGGCTAGCTTGGGCTAAGCTATGTCTAGGAGGCTCTACACTGGCCACCTGGGCATAGCTAGCTGGGCTGTTCTCCATGGTGCGGAGTCGCGCTTCTAAGTCTGTTAGCCTGGCCTCCAATGCTGCTAGAATCTGACATTTAGTACAAGTACCATTATCGCTAAAGGAGGCAGAGGAATAACTGAACATGCGACACTCCGAGAAAGAGAAAGGAGGAGAGGAACACGGGGAAGCCATTGCTCTAAATTAGGCTACAAGCTTAGCTAGCTTCTAAGCTAGCTGACCAAAAGTAGCAAATTAAATCTGGTAATTAGCAAGAACTTCTGCAACACAAGTGCTTAAGTGGTGCAAGTGTATGTTGTTACTCAAAATTCAGAAGAACTTAGAAACAGTAAGTTTAATTCTTAAACAATCTGGGAGCAAGCACTAACGGTGCAGCTGCCGAAAACAGGAAATGGGTACGGTTACCGCAGAAGCAGGAAACAGCAGTCTGTCAAAGGTTCCACCTCTGTCTACCAACAAGACAAGGTAGAGCGGGAGGAGGCTACACAAACACACACAAACCATTCTGATAAATATAAATATAGAAGAGTGATTTGCAGTTAAATCTAGAAAAACATTGGTAGCTGGTCACAGAAAACCTCAGAGGCTGAATGTGCATAAACATCAGCCACACAGTTCCGCAAGGACCATTTCCATGATGGATGTGTAAACGCCAGTCTAGTTTTCTCACTTTGTTTTGATGTGTACTGTGGTTTTTCCATATGAACAAACAATTTCCAAAATGTCAGACTTTTGAATTTGATTATGGGATGCTGAGTACAGCATATACTGTAGTTAGGACATTTAAAACTAAGTAGTCATAATCTGGAGTGACCACACATCTGAGAAATGCAACAGCACATTAATAGTACAGATAGCACAGTTAACAGTGGAACTGAGTTAAGCTATTGCTGTCTCCTCTCTACTACTCTGTTAATGCACTCATTAGTCATTTAGTGGTAACGGCAGATACTGTTGTATTGTTATGTACTGTATCTGTAGCTTCTGGATATTCATGCATAACAGCACAGCACATCGCATACAGTATCATAGTGTTTACCTTGATCAATTCATGAACAATGGCGCCAGGGTGCCACACACCACACACACCTGTACAGATCAG